CCCCCCCCCAGAGATGCAACACATCGAAAAAGAAAGAACGGCATAAACATAAGCTGATGGCCAGCGCCTCCGGCGCCGCCCCTGGCGCGCTCTGCGCGCCAGGGAGGAGGGTCCGGCGCAGATCCACGAAATCCGCGCGGAGCGCCAGAAGTTTATGTTTATGCATTTTTTTTTTTTTTTTTTTTTTTTTTTTCATTTATTGATCCTTATATCTCTAACGCAGCCCTTCTGCTCCCCGTCGCCGTCTCCCCGTTCCCGCCATCCCTGCCGCGCCGCCTGCCTCCTGTCGCCTCCGCGCGCTCTTCGCTCCACGTCGTCTGGCCATGGTCCTCCATGTTCGACCTCCTCTCGCCTCTCTTCTCTCTTCTTCCCTCCCTCGTCTCCCTAACCTCATTTCTCTCAGCTCTCTGCTCCCGAATCTCTGCGCTCTGCTCTCTCCCTTCTCTGCTCTCTGCTCTCCTCCGTCCTCTTCCTCAGTCTCTCCGTCGTGCCTCCCTCCGTCCTCTGTCCTCCTTCTTCCCTCCTCCGCTTCTTCCTGCCTTGTTGCCTTCTTCCTGCCCTCTTGTCATCTAGTTTACCAGCTGCCTGCAGCAAACCCCGCCACCGTGCCTGTGCATCAGCGCAGCAGAAAGGATGCTGAGTGTAGGAACAGCGCAATTCCGACCTCGTCTTCGTCCGCGCGGTGCGCCTGCCGCACTGGCAGCGCGAAGGTGGCCAGGAGCGACCATCTCAAGTTTGTGTTCCCCTCGGTCTGGGTTATCCCCTCCCTCCTCCTCCTCCTCCTGCTCCTCCTCCTCCTCCTCCTCCCTCCTCATCCGCCTTCTCCTCCTCCTCCCTCCTCCTCCTCCTCCTCCTCCTCCTCCTCCTCCTCCTTGTCCTCCTCCTCCTCCTCCTCCTCCTTCTCCCTCCTCCTCCTCCTCCTCCTCCTCCTCCTTCTCCTCCTCCTCCAGGGGCTGCGGCCCGCAGGCCGGAGGGAGTTTAATTTGCGACACCAGGCTCTGAGCAACGACCCCTCGGTCCACAAGGGGCCGTCTTGGGAGTTGCTTCGACCCCGAGGGTTCTCGGGGTTCAGACCTTCAAATGCGACAGGGCGGAGCGCGCAAGCATCTAGCCCTCGTACCCGTTCATTGCAGGTGAGTCAGTGCAGGTGCCAGTTCACTGTTCTGCCCGTTCTTCCGCCAGAGCTGCCGGCACGGCCAGCGAGCCCTGCGTCGAGACGTGTTCGGGGCCGAGGGGCCCTTGAGCTTGTAGCTTGTGGGACGCGTAGATCTTGAAGGCCATGGGGTTCTTTATAGCGGACCCGCCCGCTGTGTTGAACCAGGGGGTCAGCTGGAGCGCGAATCGTCCAGTCGGTGAGTTCGGTGGGGGCTCGGCAGTGTAGTTTCCTTCGGATGTGGCCGACGCAGTCGTGCCTCGATCGGTGGCGCCTCGAAGGACACCGCCAGGGCACGGAGAGCTCGTGAATCTCGGGCAGCGCGGCGCGCCACGTTGCGAAGCCGCCCCTCGGAAAATTCGGGGGGCCGCCGTGGGCGTGTTGTCGCGTGGCGCCATCAGTGGGCCGCCGCGCATTTTTTTGTTGACGTGCAGAGCAGCCTCCGGCAAACCCCAGGGGCGCCGCCGCACCAGGTGTATGTTGCTCGGCCTCCAGCGCGCTCCAGGGGCCTCCTGGGGCCCCCTGGGAGCCTCTTGGGGCTTCTTGGGCTGTCTTCGGGGGCTTCTGGCCCGTCTTGGGGGCCTTCGGAAGCCGTCTCGGGGGCCTTCGGGTCGTCGTGGTGCCCTCTTGGAGCGCTTCGGGGCCGTCTTGGGGCCCTCTTGGGGAGCCCCTCGGGCGATCTTTGGGTTCCTCGTGGGCCGAGTTTGGGCCCTCTTTGGCGCCTCATGTGCTGCTGCTCGGGAGCTGCCTTGGAGGCCTCTTGGAGGCCTCTTAGGCCGTCTTTGGCGGTCGGAAACCCAAACATGCGAGAACCTCAACACCTTTATGAATAACCCCAATCAACATCCATAGTTTTGGCTCTTCTGACCTCTCCAGGAGAGCCTCTTGGAGCCCTCTTGGGCCGTCTTGTGGACCTCTTGAGCTGTCTTGCGGCGGTCTTGATAGCCTCTTGAGCCGTCTTGGGTCATATTGGGGCCGTCTTGGTGTCGTTTTGGCTGCTTTGGAAGCCGTCTTGGAGGCCATCTTTAGGCGTCTGGAGGTCGAACATATCGCCGGGGAACAAATGCAGGGGGACGGCTTTCGGCAGGTGCGTGCGGTGAAGGGGGGGGGCGGCCCTAGAAAACTTGAACAACCAGGCGATCGCAAGCATGGATCAAAGGGGGCGTGGATTAGCGACGGGTCCCGTTTCCATGGGAAATCGCGGCTTTCCGCCGCCGAGCGAGGCGGCGCCGGCCGCATTTTGGGGAGGGCACCTCCCCGATCCATGGATTTGGCGCTCGCGCGCCAAATCCATGGATCGCTAATCTATTTTGGTGCGCCCCCGGATTCTCACAAGCCTATTCCGTGCGTCGCGACTGGCGTCGCCACTTCCCAGGTCCCCAGAAGGGGGCAGCTCCCCAGGGAGCGGTGGCGATGAATGACGCTCCTCGGGTCCCTAGGGGTTCCTTTCCCGTGGGTGGGATTCCCGGTCGGTTCGTTTCGCTTCGAATTGCATTGCGTTTTTTCGCGTTGCAGCGCAGTGCTTCGCACTGTATTGCTTCTTGTTGCGTTGTATTGCGTTGCTCTGCATTGCTTTGCTTCGACCTGCTTCACATTGCGGTGCTTCGCTTTGCATTGCTTTGTATTGCTTTGTGCCCCCCTCCTTCGCTTCGCATTGCTTTGCGTTGTGTGCCATGGCTCCCTGATGCGTCAAGCTGCCCTGCTCTGCTTTAGCTGGCATTCAATTGTCCTGCTTTGGGCTCCCTCTCCGACCCCTTCTTTTTTGGACTTCGCCCAAATCTGAATCTTCGTCTTCGTTGTCTTGCCCAGTCCCCCCCGCCGCTCTTCGCGTGCGTCCCTGACACCCTCCGCCGCTGCCGCGCTGCCTGCCCGAGGTGGCGGGGCACCTGCAGTACCCGCCAGGAGCGGCGCCGGGTCCGTCTGGCCGGGACGACGGCGGCGAGGACGACGAGGACGACGACGACGACAAGAATGACGACAACCGCGACGACGACGACGACGAGAATGACGACAACCGCGACGACGACGACGAGAATGACGACAACCACGACGACGGCGACGACGGAGAGGACGACGACGACCATCTTGCGATCATGTGTTACAGCAAGCTACATTGGCCGTCATTTGTTTTCCCCCCTCTCTCGTGCATCCGCCCACCAAAGTCTATGAACCAAACCCTCTTCTGGGGGGGTTCTTTCCATTCCAGCTCCTGGAAGGAGCGTTCAGCAGTGGTCGCTGTGCGCGCACCGCGCCAACGTGACCGTCGTGCGAGGCAACGCGCCCGCGGGCAACTCACCAACCTTCAGGAGGGGAAAGAACACACAGACATAATTAATCGTCGATTCCCCAGGAAATATGGGAAAATGTGGGAAGAGGGGGGAAGACGAAATCCCAGAAAATATAGGAAGATATGGGGAATCCTGAGATTTGTGTGTATTTATTTGTGTGTCCATGGGCGCCTTCAAACTTGAGTGTAGTGCGAGAAAGTCTCTGGAGAGCGCCCCTCCAGGTCGTCGCAGAGTAAATTGAGGAAGTATCGAGCCTGAGCTGTTGTCGTCGCAGTTGGGCCTGCAACAGCTTGGCTCATTTGCGAGGAACTTCTGAGCGAGCACGCCGTTCCTGAGTTTCTGGCCATCTCCACGATGATGTTGATGATGATGATGATGATGATGATGATGATGATGATGATGATGATGATGATGAGGATGATGAGGATGATGAGGATGATGAGGATGATGATGATGATGAGGATGATGAGGATGATGATGATGATGATGATGATGATGATGATGATGATGATGAGGATGATGAGGATGATGAGGATGATGATGATGAGGATGATGATGATGAGGATGATGAGGATGATGAGGATGATGAGGATGATGAGGATGATGCGGATGCTGCTGCTGCTGCTGAGGAGGAGGAGGAGGAGGAAAGAAGGAGGCGGAGACGGGAGGCTCGAAGTTACTCAGGATGTGAGACCGTCTACTCTTACTTCGAGTGCGTGGGAGGGCCTGACAAAGAGATCGTGTTCTTCGGCCTGCAGTACTACATCAAGAGGTGCTTCTCCAGTCTCGTCTGCTCTCTTTCTCTAGTTCTCTCTCTATCTCTCTCTTTCTATACCTCTGTCTCCTCCTTGCTCTCTCTCCTGCCCTCCTTCCTACTTCCCTCCATTTTCTCCCACCCTCCCACCCACCCACAATGTTTCTCTCTCTCTCTCTCTCTTTCTCTCTTTCTCTCTCTTCTCTCTCTCTCTCTCTCTTTTTTTTTTTTTTTCTCTCTCTCTCTCTCTTTCCCCCCTTCCTCCCCTCCCTTCCCCCCCGCGTTATTGCACGCGTTTTTTTGTATTTGGTGCACGTTGCATGCTTACGCACGCTTTGTTGTTTATGTTGCACTGTGCATGTTTTGATGTTATGTGAAGTGTTGCGCTGCTGCTTTACTGCCCGGCTAGCGGCGGTGCCGGGGCGTGTGCTCTGGGCTGGGAGGTGGGAGGCCGCCCCCGAGGGTCTGGTGGCCCATGTCGGCGCTAGGGCGCAAATCTGGGGTGCTGGTTGGAGCGGTCTGCTCGCCATTGCGGCTTTCGGCCATCCACCTGCTCCGCATGGAGCCCAGCAGAAAAAGACGATCCAAAGCAAGCTCACTTTAACTACGAACGCTTCTGGGTTGAAGCGTCCAGTACTTCCTCCGCCTCCTTTCCTCCCCTCCTCCCTCCTCCTCCTGGGCCTCCTCTCTTGACGCTGTGCTTGATTTTACAGTGTTGGCCGTTTGGGCCCCATGGGATTCTCACAGCGTGGCTATTCGTACTGGACTGGGGTGAGTCCGGTGCGCAGCCTAATGCATGCGTATTCCTCGCGTTTCACTGCCTGTGCAGTTCGGCTGCTCTCGAGCGCCTTCCGTTTCTTCGTCCGCCCGCCGTCCTCCTGGGTCCTTTTCGTCCGCCCGCCGCTTTCCCGGGTCCTTTTCTTTTCTTCCGTCTTCCGTTTCCGTTAACGCTAAGACGATACGCTTTCCATGGATGCTCTTGGGAGCGTCGCGGGTCGAAGCCTCGCTGCCACCGGCTCGCGCATGGCGCCCGCTGCGAGGCTTTGCCGCCATCAGCCCGCGCATGGCGCCCGCTGCGAGGCGATGTTGCCAGCTGATCTGCGAGGTATCCTGTGTCGTTCGTCGCGTGGGCGCGGGATGATAGCCCTCTTGAGGGGCAGCGGATCGGGCGGGCTTCGCGCAGGGGAACACATGTGTGTGTGTCCTTGTCTCTTCTCTTACCTTCTCTTGCCTTATGTTCCATCCTTTCTCTTCTGTCATATTTTTATGATATGCTATTATCTTCCCATCTCTTCTCTTCCCTTCCCTTCTTTTTCCTTCTGCCCGTTCTCTTTCATATTCATACTCTCTTCTCTTCTCTTCTCCTCTCTTCTCTCATCTTCTCTTCTCTTCTTTTCTCTTCGTCTCTATTATGTCTCTTCTCTTCTCTTCACTTCTCTTCTCTTCCTCTCCATCTCCTCTCCTCTTCCCTTCTCTTCTCTTCTCTTCTCTTATATTATTTTCGCTTCTCCTCTCTTCTCTTCTCTTCTCTTATCTTCTCTTCTCTTCTCTTCTCTTCTCTTCTCTTCTCTTCTCTTCTCTTCTCTTTTTTCTCTTCTCTCTTCTCTTCTCTTCTCCTCTCTTCTCTTCTCTGCTCTGCTCTGCTCTGCTCTGCTTTCCTCTCCTCTCCTCTCTTCTCTTCTCTTTCCTTCTCTTTTCTTCTCTTCTCTTCCCTTCTCTTCTTTTCTCGTCTCTCCTCTTCTCTTTTCGTCTCTTCGCTTCTCTCCTCTCCTCTCCTCTTCTCTTCTCTTCTCTTCTCTTCTCTTCTCTTCTCTTCTCTTCTCTTTTCTTCCCTACCCTTCCCTTCTCTTCTCTTCTCTTCTCTTCTCTTATCTGCTTTTCTCTTATACTCTCTTTTCTCTTCTCTTGTCATCTCATCTCATTTCTTCTCTTCTCTTTTCTTCTCTTCCTTTATATTCTCTTATCTTATCTCATCTCATCTTATCTTATCTTATAACATAGCATATTAAATTATATTATGTTTATGCTGTTGTACCCTGCATAATATTATTTTGTAGTATCTTGTGCTATCGCATGTTATCTTAGTCCATTTTATAATCTCTTATCTTATCATATCTTATTCGCATCTTATATTATTTTATCTTATATCATATTATCTTATATGATCTCAGAAAGTATTTTCTTACCTGCTCGGATCTTATCTTATAGTATCTTGTCTTATCTCATCGTATCGTATCGTACCTTATCGTATCTTATCTTACCTTACCGCATCTTATCTGATATTGCCTTTCCTTATCTTACCACATCTCATAATATTTTATCTTATCGTATCGTGAATTATCGTATTTCATTTTGTATTATACCATTTTATCTTATCATGTGTTATATTATATGGCTGGATCTCATATATTATCTTATCGTGTCATATTGTTATCTTATATTTCATGATCTCATCTTATCTGATCTTATCTCATATGATGTTATAGCACATTTCCATATTTTAGTATATCAACTTATCTTATATGATCTTTTTCTTATATTCTCTTATCGTCTCGTCTCTTCTCTCATCTCCTCTTCTCTTCTCTTATATTCTCTTCTCTTATCATCTCTTCTCTTCTCTTCCTTTCTCTTCTCTTCCTCTCCTCTCCTCTCCTCTCCTTTGCTCTCCTCTTCTCTTCTTCTCTTCGCTTCACTTGTCTTTGCATATTTTTCTCTCATTCCCACTGCCGTCTTCTTGTGTGTTTCTGTCGCCAGAGCCCTCAGAGCGGAGGTACCTTGCTGGGCCGGTGGTCACCCGCGACAGGATAGACGCTGCAGAGTTGGCTTTCAAGGCGTGCGCAGCGTTGGGAAGAGAGACGACCTCGGCAAGCGAAAGTGGAGAGTGTTGAGAGGGAGAGGGTGGAGGAGAAAGGAGGGAGGATCTGGAGGAGGATTTGGAGGAGGAGTTGGAGGAGGAGGAGGAGGAGGAGGAGGAGGAGGAGGAGGAGGAGGAGGAGGAGGAGGAGGAGGAGGAGGAGGAGGAGGAGGAGGAGGAGAGGAGGGAGGAGGAGGAGGAGGAGGAGGAGGAGGAGGAGGAGGAGGAGGAGGAGGAGGAGGAGGAGGAGGAGGAGGAGGAGGAGGAGGAGGAGGGAGAGGAGGAACAGGAGGAGGAGGATGAGATTAATGTCGTGGAGATGGAGGAGGAGGATGAGGAGGAGGAGGGGAAGACGGATTTCTTGGAGATGGAGGAGGAGGAGTGGGCAGTACCCTGGGTGGAACTCTTGTGTGGTGCTCGTTTTTTAATTCACCGTTTTGCCGATCGGCGCGGGCCCTCGCACCCCCCTGTCCCCCCCCCCATGGAGTAGTTCTCAGCTGATTTTGGCGCCTGCTTCGAGCGGGTGGAGTGCACCAAGCAGAGGTCCAGCGCCAGACGCCCCCACTCCCAGCCCCCCTCCGCCCAATGTCGAAACGCCGATAAAAAACGGACGATCTGGAACTCTTGTGTGGCGGTGGCGGCCGAGGAGCCCGCGTCGCGGACCAAGAGACGACAGTTAAGAATGTAACCAATGGCGGGACGAACAAATTTTGGTGGCCACGTCCGACCTGTGTACCCAAATAGGGCCGCAACCGCACCTGCACCCAACCCATGGGCCAGATCCCGGACCTCAGATGTGTCTGCTCTGAGAGTTGGCGGCGGCAGTACGCCAGCTCGAATATGACGTACAGGCGATGCGACGCACAACGCGCCCAAGGCACAACAGGACTGCTGCAGAGTTAGCCCCCGGTCTCCTGCAGCGTTGGACGGAAGCCAACTTAGCGACAGACGTTGTCAGCTACGATGCCAGCTGCGTGCGCGGCCAATGGCAGCAGACAGCAGGCGCGCGGACGGGCTTGCAGACAACGCTGCAGACAGCATGTGCTGCAGACGGCGCAGCAAGCCCCGACTTTCTCGTGCTGTGCAGGTAGGGGGACGTGGTGGCTCAACGAGGGTGGCTCCAGAGGTGGCGCAGCAGGGATGGAGCGGGCCCAAGGGTGGCGCTGACAAGCGCGAGCCTGATGCCATCAGTTGCGAGAGTGGCACGGCGAAGCACGAACCCCGCGACATCCGCTACGCGGGTGGTGTCGAGAAGCGCGAGCCCGACGGCGACAACTGCGAGCGATGTGGCGCGAAACGCGAGGCCGGCGTCGTCGGCTACGAGGGTGGTCGCAGGAAACACGAGCCCGACGCCGTTGGCTCCGAGGGTGGGGCAGCGAAGCACGCGTCCGATGCTATCAGCTTCGACTTTGGGGCAGCGGAACACGAACCCGACGCTGGGGCCAGCCACCTCGTGCGACGAAGGGCCTGCAGTGGTTCGAGAGGGCCGGCAGTTGCGCGAGAGGGGCGGGCTGTGATGTGAGAAGGGTGGGCAGCGGTCCGAGAAGGGCTGGCAGTGGATCGAGAAAGGCGCGCAGGGGTGCGAGAAGGGCCTGCAGGTGGGGCAGTGGCGGCCGCGGCTGGATACCATGCGTCATCAGCTACAGGCTGGCGCGCGGAATGCCGTGTCCGAATCATGCTCAGAGTGCTGGCAGGTTTGCGCACCGTTCGCTATGCGCATGTGCTCGGTCCTCTAGGCTACGCGGACATCACGAGGAGCAAGGGAGGGGAGCAGTACCAGACACCATGATCCACATGCGTGGGCCAGCGTGCTCGAGAAACGGCGGAAGTGGCTGCGCGAGAAGGGAGGGCAGCGGCAGCTTAGACAGGCAGCGGCAGCAGTGGAAGACAGGCAGCGGCGGCTACGAGCCGCAAGTCCGACGTCGCGACAGCACCGTCGTTGCTAACAATCTTGGGCTCGCGCTTTCGCGTCGCCTTCCTCGTGGGTGACGACGTCGGGCTCGTGCTTCGCGACAAAACCCCCGTAGCTGATGGCGTAAGGCTCGCGCTTTGCTGTGCCGCTGTCGTAGCTGCTAGTGCCAGGCTCGTGCGTCTCAGCGCAATTTCCGTAGCTGACGGCGCCAGGCTCGCGTTGCGCGTCGCCGCCTTCGTTGCTGATGGCGTCGGGCACGTACTTCGTGTTGGTACCCTCGTAGCTGCTGACGCCGTCAGCTACGACTGTGTTTTCGCCAACTGCGGGCCCTACGTCATCAGCTCAGCGGTTGGTGACATGAAGAACGATCCCGACGCCGTCAGCTACCAGGGTGGTTGCGCGAAGCACAAGCTCGACCTCGTCAGCTACGAGCGCGGGGGCTCCGCAGAGGAGGCCAGAAACGGGTGCGGCCAGAAAGGCGATCGAGGACATGCGCGCCATCTGTCACTCCATCCTCGAGCAGATCGACGCGGAAATGGACTGCGTCGCCGGCCAGCGGAACACTCCGGGGGCACGCGGGCGCGCTGGGAATTGGCCCAGTACCGGGGTCCGAGGCGCCACGAAGGGGGCGGTCGTGGAGCCGCGGAGCCAGAGCCCGCCGCCATCAACTGCGAGAGTCTAAGGGCGGCACCGGTTGCTCAGGGGCCGTGGCAGCGGGTGCGCCGCGCGAGAAGGGTCCACAGGAGGAGTATTCAGAAATAGTCGAACAATAGTCAGGGGACGATTTTTTAAAGATTATGTTCGATTGTTTATATATATATATATATATATAGGGAGGCAGCGGCAAGTCGGCCGTGACAGACGTGGCGGCAGTGGCGCCACGAGATGGGGGGGCGAGTGCGGCTGGGCCGCTCGAGGGTTGCGGCGAGCTCGAGGAGAGCGCCGAGGGGCCCGAGGAGACACGCTGTGGCTCGGAGGAGGGCGACGAGATAGAGGGCGAGGGGGCCGGGGATATTCTGGACGCCCGACATGGGTACCGAAAGAATGGGTACGATGCCCAACAGCAATTCCTGTTCATTTTGAACAGGACTCGCTGTCCGCGCCGCCGCGGCCTGTGCTCATTTGAGACAGAAGGCCGCCTGCCCAACAGCGGCCGCTGTTGGTTCGGGACAACATTTGTTGTTGGGCATGTCTTTCGGTACCCATTTCGGGTGTCCAAAATCTCGAAGACTTCATCAGCTTGAGGGGCGGACCAGTCGGTCTGCGCAGGGAACCTCGATTGCGACGTGGTCTGGCGCATTTTCAAAGACCGTGCGAGACAGGGGGGCACCGTGCAGCGGTGCAAATTGGACGCCGAGGACGGCGCAGACACCTGCGGGCCACGCGGGCACGAAGACGTGCAGTTTTCCTCCGGCGAGAAGGCCAGGAAAATCATCGCCACCCTCGGCCAGACGGAACTCGTGGGCTGTCGGTTCCGAGTCAGGGGGCGCGGAAGGTAGTGCGCGCGAGGGTGCACATTATGTTTTAGACCCCAGGCCACCGCGCGCGAGAAGTATGTCAGAACGACGGCGAGGGTCATGAGCGCTGGCGATGCGGCGGCTGCTCTGGGAATTTTTCGCAGCAGAGAGGGAGAGAAAGAGAGAGAGAGAGAGAGAGAGAGAGAGAGAGAAAGAGACAACAACAAAAAAGAAACAGAGGAACATATGAGGAGAGAGGATGAGGAAACGGAGACACGAGGAGGGGCAGGAAGAAGGAGGCGGAGGAAAGTAATAATACGGAAGGTGAGTATCACCGGAGAACGGGAACGGATGCGACAGATGACTCAGTTGACTCCACAGCATGATCCAGCATGTAATACGCGACGCAGGACGGGAAGACCCCGTGCCAACTGGATCGGTTACACCAAAAACAGATCGAAGACAATTTGGGATGCGACGACACTCGCACCTCAGCTATCCGCAATGCTGCATCATTGGATTCTTGGAATGGCACTGATTCAACGTTTGTGCCACACCACATGTGAGTACTCCGCGCGAGTGACCCATATTTCTGGCGCTCCAGCGCCGCACCCGCAGCGCCCGAGTTGGTGCCCAAGCGCGGGGATGTTTGCGTTTGTGTCCGTGTCTTCTGGGCAAGAGGTCGTTGGTGCTTCCCGTCAGGTTGGTTCTTGCCGAGGCCGCCTTGGGAGTGCAAGGAATGACGGATTCCAGAAAGCCCGCGCGCGTCTCAGGCTCACCTCTTTCCTCTTCCCCTCCTGCAGTGATCCTCCTCCGGGTCCTCCCCGCACTCCTTTCTCGTTCCCCTCGTTCGGATGGCACCAACTATACACCAACACCGATCCTGGCCCAGGATCACCCTGGGCCCAGGATCGGTGTATATGCCTTCTTGCGCAAGGCAGGAGGGCGTATACACCGATCCTGGGCCCAGGGTGATCCTGGCCAGGATCGGTGTTGGTGTATAATTGGTGCCCTCCGAGAGCTCGTCGCCCGCCCTCTGCGCTCCTTTCTGCTCCCCCCCCCCCGCTGCCTCGCTCTCCCGCCCTGTGTCCGCCCTCCCGGCCTCCTGCCCGAGAGGGCGCGGGGGCCGTCGGCGCGGCGCGGCGCCGAGCCCCGGCCTCCCCCACGACCCAGCACGAAGCACACAGACTCTCGGAGCTCCGAGCGCGCTTCTCGGGCCGGACCCGGGGCCCCCTTTGGCGGCGCCTCCGGCGGCGCCTCCTCGGCGCCGCCATTTGGCGCGCCTCCGTGCCGCCGGGGTGACGTCGGGCACGTCCCCGTGCAGGAGGAGGATGCAGAAGGAGTCAGACATACAGTCAGGGGGCGTTTTTTCTGTTATTTTTGATTGCGTTCGAGTCGTTTTCGGGCTTTCTTGATATATATATATATATATGTATATATATGTATATATATGTATATGTATAGTCCAAATTCTGCCTGTAGGAGGACACGCCCGACCCAACGCCCGGGAGCGTGTGGGTGGAGCAGCGCTGGCCCAAACGTACTCCGCGCGGACCTCCGAGAGTGCCCGTCGCTGCCGTGATGGCGAAGGGGGCAGATTGAGAGCGGGGCCCGCTGCCAGGCGCACTTCTGCCAGGCAAGGGGGGGCTACGACCCCGGTCTGTTCCACAAGACGGGGTGGGAGTACATCCTGAAAGAGTGCCTTCTTCGGCCCAGCAGCTCCCCTCCCCTCGCCTCCCCTCGCCCTCTTCCCCTCCTCTTCCCCCCGATGGTTCCGCTGATTCCCTCTCCCCTTCCATTCTCCCCCCCCCCCCCGGGTGCACCTTGAAAGAGTGCGCCTCCCCTCAGCTCCCCCCCTCCCTTCCAATCCCCTTTACCTCCCCTGCCACTCTCCCTCCTCGCCTCTCCCCGTCCTTCCCCCTCCCCCTCCTCGCGCTTCGTCTGTACCCGCGCCCCGGCCGCGGTCACCAGTGCTCCATGCTCGCTCCACTCGTGCCCCCCCCCCCCCCCTCCTCTCCCTCTCTGAAATCCTGAAACTAGAAGGTCTGTCAGACGTTTCGCCCTGCCCCACCACCACTCGTGCCCTCCCCTCCTCTCCCCCTGTGAAATCCCGAAATCCCAAAGGCTAGGAGGTCCGTCAGACGTGGCGCCCTGCCACCCCCCCCACTCGTGCCCTCCCCTCCTCTCCCCCTCCGAAATCCGGAAGTCCTGAGGGCTAGGAGGTCTGTCAGACGCTGCGCCCTGCCCCCCTCCAGGGCCAGGTCGGCCCTGGGCGCTGGATCAATTTCAGGGGGCCCGGCAGCGGCATGCTGCGGCACACGGCGGGTCTTGGGGGCGGAGGTTCTTCCTCGTCGTTGCTTTCTTTCTTTGCTGGATTCCCGGGCGACGAGGACAGGAGGGGAACCGGGGGGGAGGAGGGGCGGGAGAGGGGAGGAGGGGCGAGGGAGGAGGAGGAGGGGAGGAGGAGGGAGGAGGGAGGAGGAGTAGAGAGGGAGGGAGCAGGAGGGGGGAGGAGAGGGAGGAGAGGCGAGGCGAGGGGAGGGAGGGGAGGGAGGAGAGGCGAGGCGAGGGAGGAGACGGGAGGAGAGGCGAGGAGGGGAGGGAGGGGAGGGGACAGGCTAGGTGCGCGCGCGTCATGTCTGACGTCCTGCTCATCCCTCCCATCCCTCACCATGGCGCGGATATCCTCTCTGTTCGCACAGCCAGACGTCGAGCAGGGCAAAGATCGCGAGAGGGCACGCCGTGCATGGCACACCCTAGGCGATGCTTAAGAAAACGTAAGTTTTCGGCGAGAGTCTCGATTATTCTTAATGTTTCAATGTAGATCCTAAGATTTTGATAGAAGTTGTGGG